TTGCCTAGTATCATCAGACTAGCGATGAAACCATAACCATGAGCCATTAAAGTGGAATCGTTTCGCGATAGACCGATCCCAATAATTTGAGCTGGTATCCGGTGCGAGGCTCGTGCGAGGCAATCAGAGAGTTTTGATTTTCCCGTAACAGATGTTACACAGAATAATGAAGTTTGGAAAAATTCCGTGTCTGGCTGCGTCCTCTCCAGGCTGCCGATCAACGACGAGAATTTACAATTAAACCTCGGAATCAGCGCCTCGAGTTCTCTCGTTCTACATAAGCAGAATGTTTCACCGAAGGTCCCTCTCGGATGGAGGCAAGCGATAGAATGACTCACAGGAATTTTCCGGCACTTGTTCCGCCAGAAGATCTGTGCTGGAGAAGGAGTAAGCATCTTTGGTGGTTGTTTTTGAGCGGATGGACCGCGAGGTCGAATTCCCTTACGTGGTGCGTACTGGCTCACGTGTATTCTCTGCTGAGCGGATATCGGAATTTCAAGCCCTTCCCCTCTCCCAAGAGCTGTCTCTGGGGTCGGGACGGAGGGAAGAGGGTCTCGGACCGGCAGCGTCGAGAATAGATCAGAACTCATCCGTCTCGATGCGGCTCAGTGGAAACTTTTATAGAGTCGCTGTTGCGACTCGATCCCCGGGACATCCCTCTAGAGGAAAACTCTGGAAATATTGGGCATCGGTATTCCTCGAAAACGTCTCCCTCGCGCGAGAGCTCGGTAGCAAGTAAAGTCCGTCGGCGTCCGCTACCTCCGACCGCCGACGTTCATACGTGCTTCGGCACGACATTCGTACTCTAGCAAAGCGTTGCTCCATTTGAGAACCCGATGGACGAATTACCTTTGGCTATTCGCCACAGTCGTCGTAGTACCATGCGTCTCCCCTCCGAGATTTCTTTCCGGCCCACAGGGTCGGCCCCTTCCAGGACGATGGTCCTGCTTCTACCCCGCCCCGAAAAAATCCTGGGCACGCACCTGCATGAGGCATGTTGATGATCCAGGCTAGCCCATGCGGAGCAAGCCTATAGGAGTTGATTATTATCATCATCAATATTATTAGACGCGATGCATGGAAGCAGGAAACTATGATGTCGCCCTCGAAGTCCATGCAGAAGGGAGAGGAGCTCCGCGCGGCGTTCGATAGAAAATTCCTCTGGTCCGGAATGTCAAGAGGTGGAAGCAATCTGATCAAAATTCAGAAGACGATTAATTGAAGATCATAGGTCAGCTCTGATTCTGTGTTTTAGAACTGTGACGCCCGCGAAGCTCGATGAAACTTCTGGAATGACATCAATGACAAGCAGCAGGATGCCGAAGAATCTTCGCACGGTTTCTGAAGCGAGACTTGCTGCATCATCTTGATGTTATCAGATCGACTTTCTCCTAGCTCTCGGGTGCTCGAACCTCCAGCTACCGCCCTCGAGGAACCGAATCGAATCCATAGGGATCAGAACCTACTCTGCCTACGATCATTGACCGGGCTGTCTATTTCGGAGGAACCCCCATCCAATCGCCGGCAGAGCTGGTCATTCTGAAGACGTCCTGTGCCCCCTTTTGGAGAAATAATTGCGAGCTCAATCTTTCCTCTGAATCTAGTTTGAGTCTAATTCGAAACATCTCTCCAGATCCTTGAGGGAACGCTCGGGCATCATCCATGATAGATCTTCCTTCTGGGAGAAGCAGTCAGAAGAACGATGGAATGGTGGTCATCTCTCCTTGATCACTTGATGTGACTGGTGCCCGCCCTGGAGGTCGCTGGTAGAGACCGAATCCGAATGAGAAGGATCACCTCATTACGAGTATCCCATACTGAACATCCCACATGCCTGCTGGCCTTGATTTGTCAAAGGGTCTGATATATTATTTGTATCCCTTTTTGTCTGATAAGCCAGTTTCATGGGCTGGTGTTATCAGTAACAATGGATTGAGCGATCGCGAGAGGCAGTGCCTACGGGAGCATTCGGAAATGAAGGTCGCGTGAAGAATCTGAATATAATGAATGGAATACACAGCCTCACAAGCAGGCCTGGGAGCTCATTATGGACCCCAGACGATCCCACGGGGAACCGAAATCGTCTCTCGAAAGCAGTTCCAGCAACGGCTCGACGGGCGCGTCAACGTTGTTGAGCTCAGGCTGCAGTGTGTACTTACTCTGAGGAAGCGTCGAAGAGTGGCCCAAAAACTACCTGTGCGTAACATAGCCATCTGGCTTGTCGACTGCTTTAGAGGTCATTCGCGGAAGGACCTTTCGGGAAGGTTCCGGAAAAAAAGCATATCCGAACACGGCTGGCTACGTTCGTTGACGAATACGGAGACAAATGGGGCAGGGCGACTAAGGGAAATGTGGGTCCTCCGTATGCACGACGCGACGTGCCGGTGGCTTTCACTGCATGCAAGCGGAAGCATGACCCTCATCTGACCTCAGTTTTGCTCAAACTGGGCTCCGAGGATCGTGACAGTAGGTGCAATCGCTTCGTGCTGATCGACAACGTTCTGGAAACATGGGGGGCATAGATTTCCCGACGATCGATGTGAGCGTTAAACCGGAAATTCACATCAATCTGATCATCATCGGTTTGCCATGATCTGTCAGAGGATACCAGAAATCTGCATCACGGTGCCACTCGCGATTTGGCATTGTCAGTGTATCGATGCCCCATGGCCTATATAGCCCTCCAGAAAACGTCATTCGAAGGCATGATTTCCGCAGGTTTCCGAGAAAATTCTTGTAAATGTCTGAACACCTAATCAGGTCGATAATGGCTCGGAATCGAATTATCCGAATTTCTCTGAGGAACCACTGCAGTACCGTAACCCCACGTGTTGTAACGCTGCGATAACTATGCCTGAGAGACAAGAAAACCATATTGAAGTCAGGCAGGGAGATGCGGGAAGATGGGCCCTTCGAATACCACAGTCGTCAACTTCGGAGGAGCTTATCGAAGGCGAACTCGGATGGAGTTCCTTCGAGGCAGGAGAGACCACGAGAGAAACGATTCACATGGATAGAGTGATACACACGGATCGGAAACGGTGGCCCAAACTTGTCCTCATCGCCATAGAGTTGACCGAAGCTAGGGTCACAGCAGCAGAGATACTCTAGGAATTGAGACTGCAGATCAGCCTGAAGCAGTTCAAGATACTGAAGAGTACAACCGGTCAAAAAATGCGGAACTTGTTTCGCGGAGAACCCAAAGCGAGGGTGCGGAAGAAATCGGATGATTCATGGCGTAAGAACATGGTCGCCGAAACGACATCACATATATATCGACAATCTGAAGACGGAAGGGGTCTCGAGAGGAATACGACATCACGCGCGGCAGCCGACTCTTGGCGCTTGCAAGGGCAGGGATGCTTACCACCAAGAGTCGACAACACGCTCGAGAATCTCCGATTGACGAGAGATGCCCAAAGCGCGGAGCTCCAGAGACGGACACCCTTATCGTTCTGCAATGCGAGGAAGGTGGATTCGACCCAAAAGAACTCTCGTCCCGTCTCAAACTTCACCCTGTTACTACCGCGAAAGATCTAAGGAGGACAAAAAAATACTGAGAATGTGGGCGAATGAATGCCAAAAAATTCACCCCTGAAACGAAAAGGATCATACATGCATGTAAATGGAAAATAGAGATGAAATCAATCAATCCACATTGCGATGATGAATAATAATTTTTCACACTCATTCCGTATTCTCAAGCCGCGGCGTGAGAATGCCGGAAGAATGCTTGTAGAACGGATCGATAGCAGCATGAGTTGACGGAGGCGGCGTGTGATGCTCTCCCAAACTGGGCATAATCAAGGTCGAGGCTTTCCTAGGGTTTGTTATTCGTCCTGCGATCGCCTGTGTTTGATCAAACTCGAATCCTGACTCCCCCTGGCGCTCCGACGACCACGGATCTAACATTCCGCTGGATCTCGACGCGCCTGGACCCTGAACCCTGCTTCCGCATCAAACGATCTAACTGATCGCCACGAAATGAGCAAAGTGTGGCGAAAGTGAGATCCAAGCGCGATGTGTCGTTCTCGACACAGCCGGGGAGGTTTGCGTCCTGTTCATGCTCAATAGGTTTCAGCTGCTCTCTGCTCTGTTCATGTCTATCTCCAGCGATGAGCCTCGTTTACGTGAGACACCTCGTTTGAATACATTCGGCGGTCTATGTGGAGTTTGATAGGAAGAATGGTTTTTCGGTGAAGAGGCGGAGCCTAGAATTAGACGGAGTACCTGTTAACTTCCTATGATATTGCCTAGGCTGTTCCGAGGAGGACTGGAACCCAGGTGCGCCCCATTTCGAGGTCGTTCGACCGTGTGGGTACCTCGACCATTGCGACACAAGTGTGCTGATCATAGGCAGCTTGGATGATTCCTTCAGCTAGGTCCCATGGGAAGCCAATTCACTGGTCCTCCTTCTCGAGGGTCGGCCCTCACGGAGAGGATCGAGTTGGAAGAAGCGGATTCCGACCTTGAAGGATCAGTCTGGAGTATATCATCGAGCGGGCGATTCATAATCTCTTTGGCTTCGGAGGTCAGGTTATCTTCATTCTCTGATTCTCCGGCAAAGGAGTAGCGTCTACTTGGAACGAGCCGGTGATTCGGTTAATTGAAACATATTTCTCGAAGAGCGTGTCAAACAAAATCAGACGGGTGCGTGGCACATGACGGGATGAGGCTATGGCACAGTGTCGAGGAGACCTATTACGCCTCCGTCAAGTCGGGCAGAGGAAACTCCTAAAAGTGTCATTATCATATCCCTCGGTTCTGAGCCCAATAAATGATTCACTTCAATCACGGCCATCTATCCCCGCTCATACAGTATACAAGGTTAGGACTATTGTGTCGATGGAGAGGGCCTGAAGACCGGATTTCGGGACGAGGAACCTGCATGGAGCATATCGACGACGTCCTCCACAATGCTCTCGTGCCCCGGAGCTTCCTGCCGAATATGATCACAACTTCCCCCGATTCGCTAGCTGAGACTTCTTGAGTGACATGAGTTGAGACACACGGGCTTTATTGCAACAATAAGCGAAACTCCGAGGGAGCCAGTCTTCAGACGCATCAAGATTTCCGAAAACGGGACCCATACGAGCCCTTCCGGGCATCCACGGAGATTCCGATATCTTACATTACACAACATTTTCGTACTTGATCCCCTTAACGAGTTCCATGCGTAAGCTCATCTAGGATGGCATTCGTTTTGAGATCTCTCTTTCGGGAAGAAGTCTTCCGTTTTGAAGATTTCGGGTGGCTCGAAACGAATCTGACGTCTGTATTGGTTCGAGTTATCACCTTGTGCGCCGAGCGCGCTCTGTAGCACCTGGAACAGAGTAGGAGCTCAAGTTTACTTGTGTGGACTGACCAGAAGGCACCTGGAGATTTTCCGGGCTCTCATCCAAACACTATAGCTCCGGGGAATCACTATCAGTCTCTGTTATGCAGGACAAATCCTGCTCAATCCTATCCTTCTTCTCACTTCGTCCCTGTCTCGAGACGCGGTGATGCGAGGATAAAGTGACCTGGATTGAGGGAGGAGGCGATCATCTCTAACATAAGATCACAGGGTCATTATTGTACTCACTTTGAAGAATTTCATCTGATAAGAAGTCGTGAATTGTTTCTCTGCCTCTTCAACTTTCTGTTCCATACTTTGAACGCTCGACTTCACTTCGGACACGAGAGCGTCCAACTGATCGATTTGTGCGTAAACCTGGCGAAAGAGTCCATCGTGAGTTTTCAGAGACTTCAGATGCGAATCAGCTGATTCCAAAGTCCACGATCATGGACTCTATCTACTGTATCGTTCCGACTGCTGCAGCTCACCTCTTTGAGACTCTCCCGAGCCGCCTCGACCTTTGGTAGATTCATAGAGAGGAATTCCGTATTATTCCCAACTATGCTGATTATTTGGATGAAGGCGTCGAGCTTCGTTAGAAGGAAATCACATCTCTCGTCTAGAGCAGTTTTTCCCTCTGATATGTCAGCCAGGGCCATTTCGGCGAAGTCCGCACTCACTGATCGGGCCAATCGGGTGGCGAGCAACGGCGTCTTTTCTGCCATTTCGTTGACAACGCTTAGCAGTGTAAAGTGCGTAACTTACAGAGTGCGGCTATCTTCTGATGGTTGTAGAATTGACTCCTGTCAGCCGACACTTGCTCGACTCAGACAGTCTCAGGATCGAAAGATGGAATGAATTCAATCGCGACACCGAGAGAATCCACTCCTCCCCGAAGCAGGTCGGAGCATCGAGGACTCCCGATGCTTTTGTACGGCTAAGACATTTTTCTCAAGGTTCGTCTCTCACATCAGTCTCTCTGAAAGCGTTGATAACGACATCAAAGACAACAGCTGATTGGTGCGGCGCGAGGAGGAGAGGAGGAACATGCCGCCGTCCGCTGTTGATGGCGATGTCCTATGCTGAACGTAGAATCTTTGAGACTTCCAAGAGAAGCTTACCTCTCGGTCAAAATCGCGACACCTTGACTGACCCTATGTTTTTCTCAAACATTCATTCTTGAAGAGGTCGGCCTAATCTTGAGCGATGTATGATCTCATCCGGAGGCTAGGCTGAAAACACAAGATGAATATCAGCGAGAAGGTTTCGTCGGGGGTCCACACAGAAGACTCGATGTCGATTCCCCTGAGCCGCAAGCCTATTCTTCTCAGAGTCGCAGCACGGGGAATTTCTGAGGTCGTAGAGGACGCATCAACGGACGAGAGTGAAAGATACCTACAGAGCATTCCGAAATGATCTTAAACTTGCTCATCTGACTGTTTCTCTCTGTAGAATTATTATACTGCTATATAACTCTTGGAATTTCGCGGCGCGCGTGCTCCCGATCTCCACGCTGGGATCATAGCCAGGGCTCTGAACTTGTCTCTGTCCGTAGACCACCACGGTCCATGTCATACGCAAAGCTTTTCATGAGTTCAAGGAGTTGTCCGCGTGACAACTCGGAACCGATCACCAATGTCGGCTAGCCGAAGGTGAGCGGTGAGAATGAGAAGCATGACTCGTACCTTCGGAATCACTGATTAGCGATCCCGCCGAAAGAGAGCTCACCTCTGGTGATACATATGTAAAACCCGAGACATTGATGAGTGAGGATGCCGATGAGCTTCGAGAAGATAAAGCAGCGGAATGCCATCTTCCGGGAAAGCTCACATCGGACCCACCCAGACGAGCGATGTCAGGTCCGATCCCGATGAGTATCTCAGGCCGATCGGATAGTCGGCCCGTGCTTGTCATCACCGATTTGGCGAAAGTTTCATTCGATTTCTCGGAGCGACGTGAACCATAAGGAACTCGGCCTTGACTGAGAGCTCTTCAAGTCTCTGGAGGCTCCCTCAACGGTTTTCGGCCAGCCCAGGCGGGCTCCAATCATTCTCTCTTCAAACTGCACGCCGAGCCAGAAATGTCTCCAGAAACCGCCGTATAAAAATCATCGTGGACCGCTCCACTGAGGAGAAGAGCTGCGCTCTGGTCTTTTCGAAGATGATCTCCGTCTAGACCGAGCACAAAATCGCTCGAGGATTGGGTTGCGTTTGGGGTAGATCCGGGTGAAGGCGGATGACACATGGTCAACGAATTTACAATGCATTTCTGGAGGGTGTGAGGGTGTGAGTGGGCTGTAACCGTATCTGCAAGGGAGAGGGAGGCTCTCGCTGAGTATCTTTTTTTACAGCACAGTTCATAGATTCTTAACCGGAGCGTGTCCCTTAGCAATTAGGAATATCGTGCTCTTGAGTCCGGCCTCCCGCAATTTCTCCGTCTCTCAGCTGAAGCATCGTAGCTGTTATCAAACGCCAGAGGGATGAGCACTTCCTCTTTCGGATAATCTGGTCATCATCCACCTGCTCTTCTTCGAGTCGAGGCGCTTGTCTTGTCCGTCAGTGAACTTCGGACGGTGATGGGCGGCGGAACCCCGGCGAAGCGAAGATATGTGGATTACTGGCATAGCTTGAACCAGATACTCAACATTTTCGCCGCGGTACGTTTCCTGGTTTCCAACGTCCCAACGATATTTCGCCTTAAGTAAGAAGCCCGAAGTGCCGGTAAAGCGGAGGTCTCGATTCAGGGTCTGACATTTGGAGTTTTCGGTCCGGCACTGATGGACTTAGCGGAAATTTATTCATCGAAAGAGAACGACATCGCCCTCACGAACTCAATGAGAGCTCTCGGCACACTCGCGGGTTCCATCATAGGTGAGTGACTTGCTGAGCGTGGGGTCGTTTCGGTTTCTGATCTGAAGTTGCCGCTACTCCCATGCCTGCGCCCGGGATGCATCCGCATTGACCCTCAGGAGGAATCTTCCGAATCTCAATGGTCCTAAGGATCAGTCGCATCAGGCGGTTTTCATGGAAGGCATAATACCCTTCCGATTCAGTCGCGGCTGGACTTTGTGTATCCTGAGTTTCAACGTTCTCTTCTTCTCCAAGGCGGATACTTCTACAAATTCATGAACGATCAGATTTGTATGTTCATCGTAATCTTACTGTACGCTCTCTCGACGGTGCTGACTCCCGTGTTCTCGAGTTTGTGGATATTGCATGTCCTAGCCTTCGTGGGTGGCTTCGTCGTGGGAGTTTTCGAAATCGGTAAGTCATCTTGTCGTCTTAGAATCATCACTGACTTCGACAAGAGACGCATTCTGAGCTCTGAAGCTCTTTTCTGTCTACTCTCAGGTTCTCAAGTACGCTTGGTCAGAGCCTGGCTAGAGCAAAGCGCAGCAGCTCTGCAAGCTTTCCATACTGCTTTCGGCGTTGGAGCGATGCTTGCCCCATTCGTGGCCGCGCCGTTCCTGAGTTCAGTCGAAGACGGCGTTCGGGTGAAGGTATGCACCCGAATACTCGGTCATTTATATTCCATCGTTTCATATTGCTCCCCGCTCCGAAGAGCGCAAAAATACGGCATCGGAAGAGATTAAGCACCGAAAGCGCTCTCTCGTGAGACTATCCCTCCGACATCCTCGCTTCCGCCTTGTGATCGGTCGGCTCCTCTCTCTGAGACGACCGATCTGGGGACTCTGAGGGGCAGAATCGATCCCGAAGTACTGTCCTTCCCTTGCTCCCACCTTTAGGAAACACAGCTGTGGATACCATTCGGCATATTTGGGGTAGTTTTCCTTTTGATTTTATTGTCGATGCTCGGCGCGTACATCGTTGATCCCGTGGGCATCCACGACTCGAAGAAAGTTGAAGTCAAAGAGACAGGAAGCTCGAGGAAGACATTCGAAAACCTACTCGTATCTCTCCTGTTCCTCTACATATTGTTCACTGTGAACACCGAGATCACCTACAGTAGTGAGTAATTCGCTCCGACTATATCGGGATATTTCTCTCTGCATAGTCCTCAATAAGATGGTATTTGGCCACGAGCACTCAAGTCTGAAGTAAGTCCTACGAAAATCTCAATCTCAGGTCTCTTCTCGGTTTTCGCCGTGAAAAGCCCTGACCTCCAGTTCTCGAAGTCGATGGGCGCTTACTTGGCCGGCGTCTTCTGGACAACTTTCACGGTCGGACGACTTCTTAGCATATTCGCCGCGATGCTCGTAGACATTCCAACGCTGTTGTACATTTCCCATGCTATGCTCCTGGCGGCGTCGGGTGAGTTCTGCAATCCATGGCCCGGGTAGGATGCATCGAAGGTCTGATGGTGGATAGTTTGAGCTCGAGGTCGCCCGGGAGAGTAGGCGCGCGAGAGAGGATCGCACTAATCAAGTTTCAATGTAAAGGCTTGATGGTCGCCTTCGAAAGTTCAGCGCTCTGCGTGTGGCTCGGAACAGCTCTCCTTGGCCTCGGCATATCTTCGTTATACGGCGCCGCAAGTGGCTACTGTTTCCAATATTTCACGGTGCGACATTTCCACGTCAGTGTGATCTTGGTAAGTCCAGTGATGGTTTCGAGGATTCATGGTGCCCGGGCAGCAGCCTAGGCAAGACTTCTCAGCGTGGGGAAGAGGCAATGATGGATCCGGAGGGTGGCTGGTTTAGAATTCTCGAGTAGGTCCACGATAAAGATAGCCTGGAAGGTGCCAAGGCCCTCCAGCCCTGCCTTCGTTTGGACCCTCAGGCCAGCACCGAGACGATGTGAAGGATCTCAGGGAGCCCAATCGGATTGCAGGTGGCTGGTTGCGTTGGCGTCTTCCTTTCATCTTACTTCGTTCCGCCCGCAGTGGATGCGCAGCCGATATTCTTGCAGTGGTATACCGGTGCTGGGAATGTTATACATTTCATTGTGCTTTTCGGAATGTTCTGGTGTACAAGAGGACGCGAAGTTATCAAACAAGACCAGAAGTCGCTGGAGATGCAGTGAAACGAATGAGCATCGATTTTCGTCATGCAGCGGGATGGTTCTGAAGTAACACTAGAAAGAGATGGATACGTAACGCAGCCCATAGCCCGGCGGAACAGTCGCTTTCGCCGATCCTGAGTCACCTCCTCAAGAAGTTCTGAGGCATAAGCCGAGGCAAGCCAAGGCAAGCCGACGCAAGCCGAGGCAAGCCGAGGCAAGGCAACCATCGCGGTTGAGTAAAGGGCACCTGAGATCGCGAGGAAGAGAAGGTATAGGAACTCGAATCGAGGATCTATTATAGATTACTGATGTACCATCGCGGTTGAGTAAAGGGCACCTGAGATCGCGAGGAAGAGAAGGTATAGGAACTCGAATCGAGGATCTAGATTACTGATGTTCCGGAGCTCGAGTCCTCTGTTCGTCCGCATACGGAATGAGAAGAGATTGGTCGCTGGTTCGGAGGAGCGGATAGGAGAGAAATCGAGACTTGAGGGACACCAATGTTGACGGCATATTCCATTTCAAGCTGCTCATTGACTCCAATGGTGATATCGAGCTACCCGACAGGGAGAAGATACTTTCTTGGGGTCGCGAGCCGTCATCTCAGCTGCTTTCATGCTTATGAAGGAAAGACGCTCTGACCCAAAGGCACCTATTTGACCTCTTTTATTTGCGCTAGGCGGCGGGGTAGGGGATTAGCTCTTCGATTCGTTCCGTTCAGAAGCGGTCAGCCATCTTCCGTGATATCAATAAAGATTGCTCGCTCTGGATTCTTCGACCTACACAGTTGCGTCGCTGATGACCCCTGCGGCCTCGAGGTGAATTTGCCGAAGCGCGCTGCAGACAAGACAACGTCCCAATGCGAGACCCTTCTTCCCGGGGTCGTGGGGAGATTCTCTCTTTTCAACTTGCACATCGATCGCTCTTCGGCATACGGAGGCGTGCAACGTGCCTCTCTGAATTCCGCAATTCCGCAATCAACAAAGGCTCCTTTGCAGCCAAAGTCCCACAATGTTCCATCTCTCGTTCCCCTCGTCGAATTTGCGGGTCTAGCAGAAATGAAGTTTTCATCAAGGGAATCAGTCTTCGGAGTGTGCACAAGACTAGACGCAATTCAGTGATTCGCAGGCAGGAATGCACGGTCCTCCAGAACGCTCCTACTTGGATTACTGGCATAGCTGTAACCAGCTGATCAACATATTTGCTGTGGTATGTTCTGAATATTCTTGTTGTCCGCGAGTGACTGACATGAGTGACAGTCTAACAACTTGAGTGCTGGTAAGGTTCTCCACAGGGACTCACATGGGCAATTTTCGCGACGGTGAACCTCCTCTCGTCCAAGCGAGATGTCCTCGCGGCCGTAGGCTCCGCGCAACTGATAGGCGCGCTGGTGGGCAGCACGGCAGGTAAAGAAAAGTCCCCGCATGGTCGCTGTTCGGAACTCTGGCTCCTGGATTTGAATCGATCCACAACTCATTCCAGGCGAAAAAGCCTACAGATCATTCAATGATCAGAAAGTGCTGATAGTAGCGACGCTAATTTACGCAACTAGTGCAGCGCAGATTCCTGTCTTCTCAAAGCTGTGGGCTCTGCGCACAATGGGGTTTGTGAGCGGCGTCGCCGCAGGAATAACCGTGGTCGGTGAGCACGCGAGGAAGGCATGGGCGTCACGACGGATCGTGGAACTCTCTTCCGAGATTCCGCAGTGAGAGAGTTCTTGTATTGTAGGCTCACAAACGCGTTTGATCAGAACATGGAGGAGACTGAGCGCGGCAGCCTTGCAAGCCTTTGTCGCGGCCTTCGGAATCGGAGTAGCTCTCGGACCGATCTTGAGCAGATATCTCCAGAAGTTATTGACTGTTGAGCTCAATGTTCCTCGAGAGGTAAGCCCCGCTTTCACTGGGAGACTCACCTTGTAGAGACCTCGATCAAGGACCCGGAATCGGAACAGTATAGTTGGAATTCGGTTGTCGAGCCTCGACGATCACGGCTCTTGGATGACAACTCGGTTGATGGCGTCACAGACGTCGCAATCGTCCTGTAATTCTGATTTCGGTAATTTTTCATCATATTCGACTCGCTCCAGGATGCAGACCTGTGGATCCCTTCAGCGACACCTGGTGTGATCTTCATTCTCGCCCTACTGTCAATGGTAGGCGCTTGGAAAGCTGATTCGGTCGGCATCAACGAGTCGCGACGACATCTAAGCAACCGAGCGAGGAAGCGCAAAGTAGATGGAAACATCCTCATGACCCTACTGTTCTTTTATATCCTTATCCTGGCGCATACCGTGAATACTTATGGCAGTGAGTACCTTTTGTGAGGGTTCTCGAAATGTCGGAAGGCCCCTGTACATTCAGCCCCAATTTTCTATGGAGTAAGGCTGTGACTCACAATGCTTTTTCCTTCGAAAGATTCTTTGTGGGTCTCGGTCAACAAAAACATTTTACTCATCATCCTGGAAATGGCTCGTAGCCTCGATTTAGAATTCACGTTTTGGACAATTCTATTGATGGGACAGGTAGTTGGAATATCATTCACAATATTCATGAAAACCCCAAGACTCTTGTACTGGTCCCACGTCATGACCCTCATGGCATCGGGTGAGTTCTATTTGCAGAAGCCTCCCTTCTCCGGGACATTTCTCCCTGCTGCTCCAAACGTGCCTGAGTATGAGATATCGTCGGCGCGCAAGAGATTTCCGACCCGAATCAACCGGAATGATTTTGAGCAATAACCATTTCTGTATTAAAATTATCTCTGTATCCCTGTATTCAGGCCTGATGCTCGCTGTAGAGCCCTCGAAGGGCACTATCCGACTTGGAACACTGCTTATTGGTCTCGGTTCGTCTACGTTATACGGAGCCGCGATTGGTTTCTGCTTTCAGTTCCTCGAGGTGCGGCATTCCCACGTCAGTGTCGTATCGGTGAGAAAAAAACCTTTCATGGATATCCAGTCACGATTCTTAGCATCAAGGTTAAAACCAGGATAGGTGACCCGGAGACTTTCGATTATGCATACAAGCTCGACTTCCCCATGCCAGCATCGTCTCGCGCGCTCAAGTCCGTAGAATATTTATGTTCGCAGAGCGCAATCTTCGTCGGCGTCATCTACTCCTCTTATTCCATGCCCTTGGTGGTGGACGGACTTCCGATGCTCTTACCGTGGTATACTGGCGTAGGAAATCTGCTCCATTTCATGCTTCTTCTCAATTTGTTCTTGTGTATGCAAGGTCGTGAGCCAGCTCGGGGAAAACGAAAACCTACCGCTTTCGAGAAATTTTGAACTGGGGCGGGGCCTCTACGCAGGCTTAAATACCTCTTAAATAAATGTGACAAAGCAGATTCTATAAAACAGACCCTCGTTACTCATTGAGTCATATAGAGGCGCATTCCGATCCAAGTCGAATCAACACATGAAACAGAATGACACAGCCTCGAGAGTGACGACCGCAGGGGAGTGTTCGCCCTCAAGTTTGTAAGCGCTCGTCTTCCTCGACAACCCCGTGCTGCGATCTCGAGCACATCTATTTTCTTTTGACGCAGCTGTCGCTGTGGCTGGTATGAGTCTCCAGTGCGCATATCTTGATTGCGAGGAGACGAGCCTGAGCTCTGGTAGGAGAAGATTCGGACTCCACATTCCTGGAGAGGCGATTAGTCGGGGTCAGGGCTTCCTTGAATGCAGTTCAATGATGAAAGTAAGGATTCCGCGCCCGAGCACGGAGCAAGAGAAACCACGAAGCCTTCGAAGAGGGCCCTAGTAGGAGTCGCGAAGAAAAAGTCGAAGATCCTCTCGGAACTCTCCATTTTGGAAGAGTCAGTACTGTTGTCAGCCCAAGACGGATCTCCTTGAGGCCGATTACGACTCGCATGGAGGTGACAGCTGAATAATCTATTCATAGGAAGTGATTGGGATATGCAGCTGAAGGCTTCGATGTTCCTCCGACTCGACTTTCACGGTCGCAAGCGCATCGGAAGTAGTAGATACGTCCCGATCTCGCGTAGACTATCCAGGACTCCGGATCTCTCGAGGTGAAAGATGGACAACCCCTATACACAACTAGACCACGGCAAATCGCTACGGCGCACGGAAAGAAGAAAAAGTTAAGCTGGCTCGAAGGGTTCGCGACAGCGGAGTATCGTGGAAATTGGTTCTCGGTAGCGATAACGCGTCGCCCCGTCGATTCCTTGAGATTCGACTAGTACCCACCTGGAAACAAACGACTCCTGAGAATAAATTGGCATGCAATCGAGAGCCGCCTATGGTTACTCAATGGAGACGCATCATTATCTGGGATGGTTCTGTACATTGTCCGCAGACGAGATCTCGTTGTGCGTGACGGGGGAAGCTGTCAAAATGACAGAATGATCTTCCCTGCAGAAGGCTCAGGAGGCATCGTCTAATCCCTAGGTCTTAACTGAGATTTTCTCGAACTTTGCACTGCTGTTCACGGCCGCGAGACGAAAAGCCGACAGCTCTGGCGGTTTCATCCTAGAACAATATCTGGATTTATTCAGGAGCATTTCCTCTGCGATATGGCTGCTATCCCGTCGCAACCGAATCTGACCGGGGCCATGGGGCAGTCTTCGACAGAGACTGAAATCTCGTAGAGATTAGTTGATCACAGGAGATATGGCGGACGGTAGGGGCTCCGGCCGCAGTGGTGGGATTTCCGATGAGAATCGAAGTAGAACGCTGGAATCTGCTCGAGCAATTTGGTCCCACGAAGAGGGCAGGTTCGAATCCCCCCCCCCTTCCTGCCAGAAATCAGCATTCGCCGTCCAGCCTGTGTCCAGATTTCAGATTCAGTCTTCGTCCCGGGGATCATATTATATATGTACATCGCGTCGTCACGAGATCCAGATGTGTAGTTCTCGAAGGGTACTAGGGCTCGTGTCGTCCCCCATCAGCGTCATTGCCCATGAGGCGTTGGAAGCGCCGAGGATTCCCGTCCTTTTCTCTCGAGGCCCCCGGCGAAGCTCGCCCTGACAATTTCGACAACTAGAACGACGCTCGAGAAAATCCCCCCGAACGAAAGCAAGAGCAGGGAAGGTCGGATCTCGGTGGATTTCAGCGCGAAATGACTGAAGTCGTCGACGACTTCGTATTCGGACGGATCGTGATTTTCGTGCGCTCTGAAAGAAGGGTCTCCAATTTAGCCTTGTCATTGTGGCTCGAGTCTCATCAATCAGCTGGATCCGATCTCCGTCATGCTCCGCGGAAAACGTCGAATGTGAACCTTGAGCTAGATGTTGCTACTTACTCGTCGTGAGATTTCGTCGCGATGTGTCGATTCACACGACTCATGAAGAAGTAGGCGAAGTCCGTTTCGAAAAGCTCGCGCATCTTCGGTTGCAAACTCCTACAGGCGTACATAATCGCTTGTTTGCTCAAACACTGAAGAGAGGTTGTTTGGAGCCTCAAGGGTACTATACGAGATGTGTAGGTCGCTCTCGTAAGTCCCCAGATAGACTGCAAGAACCTGGCAGACGAAGAAGCGTCGAACCATGCATCGCCATTGCGGAGCAAGTTCATAAACTGAACGAAATCAGGCTCAACGAAGCTGACCGTGTGGTTATACCAGTTACGATCGAGCTTGGTGGATTCGAGTTTCGGTTCCCGAGAAGGTCTTTGGAGCATCGACGCCAGCGAGCCCTTATAACCAGTTTGTGGTATGATACACAAGACTGTCCACATGACGGTTGCACAGGCAGCGGTCACAAACCTGAACCGCGACGGTTGGGGCAACTTGAGAGTCGTGAACATGTGCGAGAAGGCGTAGATCACGTTTTCCGCGAATACTTCTAGCTTGTTCCGCTCCGTTGCGTACTTGATTGAGTGGGTCATGATGAAGGCAACGATCGCCGAGAAAGCGCCTATCAAACACCAGATCGCTGGGCTGAACGGGGCAAGCAGGACGAAGTCGTCGTACAAAATTTTGGGATTCAAGTAGATTGCAACTTGTTCATCCATTAGAATTGGTATGATGTTCGGGAAATGGCTCCAAGTGTAACCCTGTACGACGCCGCTTCCAATGTAAGCTGTGTGCCCGGTTCTAGAGTAATTCGTGACATATTTTGGGTATATTCTCATGTCGAGACTCTCGCTAACGTACAGACTCATCTGGCTGTTGTGAATGGATTTGTTGAAGATCAACAAGCTTGATAGATCGACTTCTCCGTTTGTGACCTCGTGCCGAGACACGATTATAGGCTTCCACGCCGGCCTCTCACCGTGGAAGTCCGAGTCGACGCGTATCTCAAAGTAGTCACCGTCGTCCTTGTAGATGACACAGCTGAATGGGGCGGCCACCACCTCGGAGGCCCGGAATTCAAAAATCTTCTGAAGGGTGAAATCGATGAGGGTGAAGTATTGAGCTCCGTAGGTCCGGACAAAGTCCTGGTAAAACCTCAACCAACGCTTCGAGGGCGTCGATTCACTATAGCAGACCACAATTATGATGCGGCTCGGGTATCGGGCTCGATACAAGGACGCTAAGTTGATTATGGATGCCGGGGCGTCGGAGTAAGTCGAATGATGGCATCCTATTGGGAACAGTGCGAAATTCCCTTTCGGGGCAAGGTTTTGAGTGAGCTCCCCGATGAGGACACGATGATTCACGATCGCTGTGCCCGTGTGGAAGAGATCCGTCAGAAGGAGCAGAAATAAACTCATCCTCCGAGATGAGCCTTCTCGCATCGAGCGACTACATTGCACGAATGCTCCTGATTCGATAATATTCGGAAGGTGCCCATTCAGGCGATGCCGACGTTCGAACGAGGAACACCATTGATCCGAGCTCATTTCTACATTCAAAAGAGCTCCTTGTTCAAGGATCGATGCTCGTTGATACAAAGGATGATGATGATGCTTCTGCTGCTGCTGCTGCCAGTATCGTCGTTATGTAAAGCTTGCTCCTATCGTTCCGTATAAAACGAGATATTTTGTGAGCTACGAAACAACGTTGATTGTCAGCTGGGCCTAAGTCGGGACGACCTTCAAGGAGAGCATCCTTTGTTGCTTTCCGGGCACGCGGTCGATGGCTCAGGCATGTCAAACTCGCGTCGCTGAACACTTCTGTCCGAAATGCGAGGCGAGGCAGTTTTCATGTCCATCGCGGTCTCCACAGTATTAAGTTCGGAACGACACGCCAACGAAATATCCCGAACTCCGGGGTTTGAAGCCATGACTGTAGCGCTTGAAAACCTTCGAACGGGACCCACGTTCTCCATAATGGTGAAACACTGCAACTTCACGGACCGAGCGGTCGAATCCTTTCGTGCGACAATTCTGCCAGGAACAAACGAGCAAGATATTGTTCGATGCGTCGACAGAAGTTTATTGGTGGTGTGCAACACTGGGAGGAAGACTGCTCTGGAATATTGGACTAAGTACTACAAAAAGTATACGAGGTATTGTGGGCCGGAGAATTTTTCGGTTCTCGACCTGACGGAGGACTGCGAGTTGAACCTCGACTGGTGGGGAGAAGCGACCGGTCCCTTCAGCTACGTTTGCTTGTTCGCTGAGCTACAGAAGTTCGTGATTCGAGTCGATTCCGATTTCCGAGGGGAACGACCAGCTCGTCATTCAGTTTTCGTGTCTGTCAAGGAAGTTTCTGACGGGAGTTTCTCGCTGGCTTCGGAAATATGGTATGACCCGCTCGTTCATGACGGTCCGATGAGCTTGTATGTCACCAACATCGAAGACGTGGTTCTCTTTTCGATGACTCCGAGGTATCAATCCAACTACAGCGAGCCCGGCGAGCCCGTATACGAACAGTACTCACTCGGAGTTTACGTAGACGACGAGAGCCATTATCCTCACGCGATCCCGTTCTTGACGCAGGATGGCGTCGCGTTGTTCAGAAAGCCGCGTCTCGTGTTCAAACATTTCCTGCTATTAGAGATATTCGACTACCCGATATGGGTCTCCTTCGTCCTGTTCACCATCGTCATGGCGATTATCGTGACGTTCTCAGTCAAGAGACCGCCGAATACCTCTTCCTGGCAGAATTTCCTGAGCAACATAATCTCGGTGTTCTGTCAGACGTTCACGAGTGTGTCGGTTCCGGCACCGTCGAAGTTCAAATACTCCTCCGTAGCCATCTTGGCGATCCTCTGGTCGATACTCGGAATCATTCTCCTCACCGCTTATAAAAGCAGTCTTTCATCGTATCTGCAACATCCGCCGCGAGCTGCCAAACATCCACGAATCGATCCGGAGGGAAACAAGGTGGGAGAAGGCACCAATATATTCTTCGAGAGTCCGCGTCTGGATCGCGTCCT